GTATTTTCAATCACATTTGATTGTTATGCTCGCTACACTTCCGCTGCGCTCGATCCTACACAGCCCGAGCCAATCCGGTCAGCTCGCCAAGTGGGCCATAGAGTTGAGCGAGTACGACATCGAGTATCGGAACAGGTCGTCTGCAAAGTCACAGGTGTTCCAAAGCGACGAACGAGCCAACCCCAGACAAAGTATGGACACTGCACATGGACGGCCAGTCGTCTAAACACGGCTCGGGAATAGGAATCCGTCTCACCTCTCCCACCGGAGAAATATATATTGGAGCAGTCTTTTCGCCTGAACTTCCACGCCTCGAACAATGAAGCAGAATACGAAGCACTGATCGCCGGCATACGACTAGCACAGGGAATCAGAGTTCAAAAAATAAGGACCTTTTGCGATTCACAGCTCGTAGCGTGTCAATTCAACGGCGAATACGAGGCAAAAGACGGACGAATGGGAGCTTACCTCAAGGTGGTCAGAGAGTTGGTGCAAAAGTTCGACGAGTTCGAACTCACACGAATACCCCGAGGCGAAAACACCTTGGCTGACGCCTTGGCAGCACTTGATTCGACTTCAGACCCGAATCTTCGACGGACAATCCCAGTCGAATTCATCGAACGTTCTAGCATTGAAGAGGTAGAAGGAGTTCGGCTGATAAATCCTCCCGAGCAGGAACCAGAAAATGACGAAGCAGTCGCTATGCATGAAGACGCCTCACAAACCGAGCTGGAGTACGGCTGCGACAAAGAATGGCTCGGAGCCATCCGAGTGTATATCGCCGATGGAGAAGTGGGAAGCCCGCAAATTAAAAGCTCAGGCTGCGCGATATGTCCTCGTCGACGGCGAGGTGTTTAAATGAAGATTTTCGGGACCGCTCATGACGTGCGTCGAAGGCCGAAGGCAAGAAAGATCATGCACGATGTACACAGCGGCGCGTGCAGAAACCACTCTAGCGGAAGGCCGCTCGCAATCAAGATAAAACGGCACGGTTACTTCTGGCCTACGATGGTCAAGGACTGCGAAAGTTTACGGCGAAGTGCGAGAAGTGTCAACGGCACGCGCCAACTATTCACCAACCTACCGAGCTGCTGTCATCGATCTCGTCGCCTTATCCTTTCATGAGATGGTCATGGATATTGTCGGACCTCTACATCGATCAAAGCAAAAGCGTTTTCTGCTCGTCCTCACGGATTATTTTTCTAAGTGGGTCGAGGCCGATTCTTACGCGAGCATAAAGGATGCTCAAGTCGAACACTTCGTCTGGAAAAATATCATCTGCAGACACAGGGTCCCTACGAGATAGTCACTGATAACGGATCCCAGTTCATCTCAACGCGTTTCGAAGCTTTCTGCGAGAAATGGAAAATCCGTTTGAGTAAATCTACGCCAAGATATCCTCAGGGGAACGGACAAGCCAAAGCAACCAACAAGACGATCCTAGACGGTCTGAAAAAGAGGCTCGACGCCAAGAAAGGACGATGGGCAGATGAGCTCAAAGGAGTCCTTTGGTCGCATCGGACAACTCCACGCCGAGCCACCGGAGAAACTCCATTTGCTCTAGTTTATGGAGCAGAATGCGTAATCTCCCCCGAGGTGGATTTCCCAGGTATTCGACGAAGACTTCTGCCAGGACAAGAAGGCTTGAATCACTTAATGATGCTGGACGAACTCGATTTGGTCAACGAAAGGCGCGACCAGACTCTAATCCGAATTCAGAACTACCAACAAGCGACGGCGAGATACTACAACAAAAATGTCCGCAGTCGAAGCTTTAAAGAAGAAGAGCTCGTCCTTCGAAAAGTTTTCCAAAACACTGCCGAGAAGAATGCAGGAAAGCTCGGAGCAAATTGGGAAGGTCCTTACAAGATTACAAAAGTAGTTCGCCCAGGAGTCTACGAACTCGCGACAGTAGCTGACGAAGCAATTCCAAGATCGTGGAATGCAATGCACCTGAAGAAGTATTATCACTAAGGCTACAACACGGTCAACATGAACTACAGGGCGGCTTGATCCCTGCAAAGGGTACGTAGGTAGCCTGTCCTCGGACGGGTGCAGCTGTCCCCCCTCCTAAAAAGGTGGGGGGGGGGGAGAGTGGGTACGTATACACATACCTTCATTTAACTCTACAATTCTAGCTCGTCTATCGTCTCTAGGAACATTGCCACTTCGGCCAATTTTCTGTTCGTTTTAAACCAGCTACTTATTTCATGTTCACCTCGAAATTCTAATTCGTTCATTGTCGCTTCGGCTAGTTTCTCATTCGTTTTAAATCAGCTACTTATTTCATGTTAGCCTGGGATTTTTAATTTGTTCATTCATCACTTCGACAAGTTATCGCGACTTGATCGCCTCGGACTTTTACTTGTCCTTGTATCCACTTCAGCAAGCTAAGTCTCCAAACACCTCGCTGATGGTCGTGTCAACTGCGTGAGGGAACAAGTTTTACCCTTAACAAAACAAATGAAAGCCGCAAGTGCACAGCTGATCAGTTGCAGTATTTAGGGATCGAATCCACAGAGATTTTTGTGCCTGGTATTCTTCTACGGGTTTTTTTTACTTTATGTCTAGACTAAATTGGTTTTAAAGGTTGGTTGTTTTTCTTGCGAATTAAACTAAAACAAAAGAAAGCAAATAAATATATCCTAAAAAGCAGGTAGGAAAATCGAATGAAATGCAATTAGAATAAGCAAATATCGAATGAAAGACTAATAAGGCAAGTAAAATATCGCATGAAAGGTAAATAAAGCAAGTAAATAATGAACTAAGGAAATTGAAATGCAGGTCTAAGAAAGCAAGTAAAAATCGATGGAATTGTAAACTATGGCTAAAAACGCTGAGCTTTTGGGAACTCTAAGGGATCATAATCAGTTTTAACACTAAGGTAGATAGATTGGGATTGACAGATAACGATATATGGGTTCTAGAGCTAGAGTACGGCGGTATGACTACGTCACTGTCGTGATCATAACCAACTGTTTCTCGCAACCCTGACCAGTAGGTTTCCACTCTGGCCCAAGACTCGTCAATACTCACGATCTCGCCGCAGGTAGGTTTCCACTCCTACGGAAAAATCGCCTGTTTCATTCTAGGGCTGATACTTAATGAAAACTTTCGCAACACTAACTATCTAGATCAGATACTAGGTGATCAATCAAGCATACATGCAATAAGAAAAAGATTAAACAGAGAACAGGTCGAAATCCCAGATCTATAAACCTAGATGTCTTAATCAATTATGAGAGCCCCTTTTGGGAACCCTAAGCCCAACTCGGGATCTACTCAGACATGGCTGAGTTTGACATCATCATTGGTTTTAATAAAAGTAATGAAAAACAGTAAAGAAAAGAGATAAAGACGACCTAAATGACATGTATTTATAGTCTCCAATACTCCATGGTCTCTAGGGTTCCGGAATTGAGGCTGAGAATGACTTTGGGCTTCAGATAAGTGGGCTTTAACTCGGAGATTGATTGCCGCGGTCGGGAGTGTTGTGACCGCGGCAATTGGCTTGTTGGCCGCGGTCGGGAAGCTTCTGACCGCGGCAAATAGCTTGTTGGCCGCGGTCGCATGAGTTGCTGACCGACTTCGAGTGGCTCCGGGGCTAATGGAATATCTTGAGATCCAACCGTTGGAATGTCTCCAAACCAAGTGCATTTGAAAGCTGGTTGATTCTTCTATACGTTGTCCAATTTTGAGGGTGATCAGACGGTGAGAAGGTCTTCGTCTCTCCATGAGAGTTCTGACGGTCTGCATTTATCCAAAAGAGTCTTTTTGTTCCATTTTGTGCCTCTTTATCCCAAATTACCTGAAAAGTCTTTTAAAATCCAGAAACATAGAAATCCTTTGAAAACCTTTGAAAATGGAGTAAAAACACCTGTAAAAGATATTAAAATGATCCATAAAAATGGTCAAAATCCGGTGTTATCACTCGCCTCGTTGCAGGCCACAGCGAGGCAACAGTCACAAAGTTCTCTAAATAGACTTTTAACCACCTTTCCTAGGACGAGGGTGCAAGTTACATCCTCTATGGATTAAAATCAAGCGCGCTATACAAATTTTAGACCAAAAATGTATCGGTCACCACGGTTCGTCATCGTACACGAGATTATAAGTCGAGACTACATCGCTTTCTCTAAAACCGAAACGAACTCTTAAAACCCTGCTAAACACATTCACCCTCTCGGGAACGCCGGTCTATGATCAAACTTTGATATCGTCTCAGGACGAAGACTTCGGCAACAAGAGATCCGGACTTAGCGCTTCAAGCAGCCAAAGACCAAATCCGATCTGAAACGCCTCGCACTTTTACTCTCTTTCCTAACTCAAACGCCTCGGCGCTAACAGTGGAAGGCACAAAGGAACGTTAAGAACTACCTAAAACAAGGACGCTCCACGAATCAACTGCCAGCTCGGGATTTAGGCTTAAACGGAATCCTTAACAACTTGTCCCTTAGCCCGTTTTTCTATTGATCTTTCGTAAACAGCTCGGCCAGGCAAGCAATCAAAAGCATTCTCGACACAGCTCGACAACGATAACTCGTTCAAAACAAACAGTTTTCGTCAAAAATTCGTCAAAGACAAACACATCAAATCCAACAAAAATGACTAAGGAAAAAGATGAATACAACCATAGCCAAATCAACAGTCAGGTGGATAAAGCCGTCCAGGCACCAATCACAGTAACATGCGAGTTCGAAAGAAGGATAAAGCCATCCAGGCGCTGAGTACAAAAAGGGTGAATATAAAAGACAAAGGAGGGAAGAGAGAGATCAAGCGGCGGAACGCGTCTCTCGCTCAGCAAGGAGGCTCGAGGGAACAGGAGTACCCGCGTTAGACCCGTTCAGATCCTGGACACCGAGGTTAGCCGCCGTCTCCTCGATCGGCTCGTTACCTAAAAGGGTATCGACAGAATCCGGCGACACGGGCGAGAACACCAGGCCACCTCGGATCTCAGACGCAATGCGATCATACGCGTCGTCGTCGACGTACTCAGTCTCTCAAGCCTTCAGCTTTGCCTCTTCAGAGTCCAGAGATCTGTCGGGCTTCCGGAGCTCCTCGATCATAGCGAGGTTCCCTTTGATCTGTCCCAGCTCGTTTTCATCGCTCTTGGCCTTCTCCAGCTTGGCCAGACCATGCTCCACTTTGGCGAGACGCTCCTGAAACTTAGCCGTCAACTCGCGCCTCACCTCCTTCTTGGCCCGCTTCACTTTAGCGTCGAATAAAGCATCTTTAGCTTCAATGCGCCTCTTCAACAAAGCCACCTCGGCGCCTTTGGCTCTCCTGGATTCTTTAAGACGAGTCACCACGGATGACACCTTGTCAACGTTTGCACGGATAATTATTTTCTCCTCTTCAAGCTTCTTAATATTGGCCCTCGCCTCGTCCAACTTTCCCTTAGCCGTCGCAGCCTCCTTCTGAGCCTCCTGTAAGCGGCGCTCGTCCTTAACCTAGTCTGATTCATAGCTAGCCATCATCTCGTTGATAGCCGCGACAAACTGAAAAATTGGCGATTCCTTAGATTCAAAGACTACGTGAAATCAAGGAAGAAGCAAATTAGAAAGGTACCTTGGTACCGCGCTGCGCTATGGCAGCATAGGATTTCGACCGCCTCAACTGCACGGGGGGCGGAAGACGAGTGTTGGCGTTGTTGACGCAGGCGAACATTACCGCGGAGGCAGGCGGGTCGTCAACTACCAGCTTACAAGATGCGGGCTTGCCGGGCGCCGATTTACGTTTCTTTTTGGATGGCTCGTCCTTTTGGATGGCCGCGCCCTTGCCCTTTTTTGCAGCCAATCTCTTCCTGCTGGAATCATGCTTCACCAGATCTGAAGCCGGAGGCCTCGATTGTTTCGGAAGAGCCAGAATCGCCGAGGTAGGCGGCGTTTTGTCCCGAGCTGCGGAATTTTCTCCAGACGCGTCGGGAATGATCTCGCCCGGCTCCACCTCGGGCGCCGCCTCCTGCGCCGTCGCCTCGGGAGCAATCTCATCAGCAGCTCGGGCAACTTCGTCCCCTTCATGCCTCGGCAGATCATCCCGAGGTACCGCCTCGGTCTCCTCAAGAGCTGCTCGTTCGGCTCTCCTGGCAATCTCCTCGGCTTCGCGTTGCTTCTTATCCCTGAGCGTAATGATCACCATTTTCTCTCGCGTATCTCCTGATGAATTTGATGAAGAGGAACTGATGGATACTCCAGCGAAGATAGCTCGGGCTCTCTCTACTCTCTCGAAAGAAAAATGCTTTCTCCAGTTAACCTTCCAAGCCGCAAGAGTATCTCGAACAGAGAAAAGGTCGTCGGGAACAGGAGGAAGAAAACTCCGAACTGAAAATCAAAACGACTAAGTTAGAAGATGGATTTCGCACCATAACAAGCTCCGAGCCAAAACAAGGCTTCGGATCGACTACCAAGTGGTCCCCAAACAATCTTCGTCTTATTTACAAAATCCTCGCTCACCGACGCCTCGTTCACCAAAACATAGAAGAAACGTTCAGTCCAAAATTGATCTTTGCTCGGGAAACCGCCTATGATCCGACGATTGGACTTATTGGAAATTTAAAATCTGCCTCCTCCCGGGGCTCTCCGGATTTCCAACAGATTGAGCAGATGACCGAGCTCGATGTCGACACCGCATTCGAAGCTCCGAACCAGGATGCCAATCATATGTCGCAAACCCCTCGGCATAATCTGCCCGATCGAAATCTTATGCTCCCACAAGTATTCGAGGATAACTCCAGGGATTGGGAACCATAGGAAGCAGAGCTCGAAAAACGCCTCATATAAGGTGAAATGGTTTTCGGGAGGCTTGTCGGCTCGGTCCCTCTTCTCTGAACGACAAATTCAACCGCTTCGGATATTCTAAAACGATGGTGCAACGCCTCGAGCGACTCCAGGAAAGAGAGTGAAGAACCGAGGGGCTTTTGCCTTTTTACCCGTTTAGGTTTTCCCTTTCCAGAAGAAGAGGCGCCTCGGGATGCCATAAGCCGCTCTAATTCGAGCCTCGCCTCAACCGGGTCGAACGGAAAAAGTTCTTCCTCGGCCTTAACCACGGCATAATCAACCTCCTCTTAGTCGACCGGACCTCGATGACGGCTCGTCGAAGCAGACGCCTCGTTATTAACAGAACAAGTGCCTGAAGGGCTCGGTGAATTCGACACTTCGTGAGCCTTGGCAGAATTTTTGGAAGGGCTCGGCGAAACAGATGCCTCGGAGGATCCCGTCATGCTCCCCGCTGCGGCATCCGCACGGCTTGTTTCATAAAAGAATAGGGGTTCAAGCGAATCACCCGAACGGCTCGACATATTTTACAGCTCGTACCAAATTTACAGCGTTTTACAACAAGGTTCGCCGGAAAAAGATCTGAGACGGCGGAGACCTCGGAACCCTAGCCGGAAAATAAATAAACTAGAGAGAGAAAGAAGAGAGAAGGGAGAGCTACCTTTTAGTAAAAATGAGAGATCTGAAGATTATGAGAAGAGACGAAGTAGCTCACCTATTTATACGACGACCGCAGCGCGTGGAGTCCGCGTAGACCTCGGGATGGTGCAAAGGTAATGAATGAAGGCGCGTGAAGTCCGCGGCGAATGCATAACTTCCTGGCGCGTCCGTCATACGCGTCAACACCCAAACGTCTGCTAAAATTTTCCCGTATGAAGTTCCCCAGGTAAACCGAATCCATAACGCAGCTATGGTTATCTGAGAATATCTCATCGAGCTGTGTGAACCGAACCATGCTCTGTCGATACAGCTCGACAATTTCATAAGAATGCCTCGTCGTTATCACTAACACGATACGGCTCGGCAACTTCCTCAAAACGCCTCGTCGTTATCATTGACACGAAACGGCTCGGCAACTTCCCCAAAACGCCTCGTCGTTATCGTTAACACGAAACGGCTCGGCAACTTCACTAACATAAACGCCTCGTCGTTAACACGAAACGACTCGGCAACTTCCTCAAAACGCCTCGTCGTTATCGTTAACACGCAACGGCTCGACAACTTTCTCTCGAACGGAAAACGCCTCATCGTTACCTTGAAACACGGCTCGGCAACTTCCTAAGAAAAACATGCCTCGTCCTTAGCGAAACGCCTCGTCGTTATCATCAACATGAAACGGCTCGGCAACTTTCTCTCGAACGGAAAACGCCTCGTTGTTACCTTGAAACACAGCTCGGCAACTTTCTGAGGAAAAAGACGCCTCGTCCTTAGCGAAACGCCTCGTCGTTATCGTCAACACGAAACAGCTCGGCAACTTTCTCGAAAAACGTCTCGTCGTCACCTCCGCCAAAACAGCTCGGCATTGCCCCTCATGTCAGTCACCTCGCCTCCATAACGGCTCGGCAATCTCACTCCCAATACGTCTCGCCTGTGATCACCCCACGACAAGTTCAATTCGATGGTTTAATCCCACGATTTGGAACAATAAATCTCGTCACTCTCACTTTTGAAATTGACGAGCTGGGGGGCTAACTGTTGGGGTCAGATTCACCCCAATTGGTTTAAACCACCTCAGGAATATCGGAGAGCCGATTTTGCAAGGAGAACCGGCGATCCATTAAGTATGGGCCGAGCCGCACACGAGAGGAGTGGGCCGAGCTGTGAACGGGCCGAGCCGAAAGGAGGAAGTAAGTGAACTGAGCCGCGTGAAGGATGTTCAATGGGCCGAGCTAACGGGCCGAGCTGTGCAAGAAAGCTAATAGGCCGAGCTGTGCAAGAGAGCGAACGGACCGAGCTGTGCAAGAGAGCGAACGGGTCGAGCTGTGCGAGAAAGCAAATGGGCCGAGCTGCATAAGAAGGAGAATGAGTCAAGCCATTCTCTTCCACAATTGGGCCGAACCAAGGCTTTGGAAGACGAAAGCCCATAGAAACCCTAAGCGAAGTATTATGACGGTGGCTGCACGAAGCGATAAGGAAATATTCCGAAAATCTCTCCCGAGATTCTCAGCTAGGCGGGTAAGAGAATTAGTATAAATAGACGATGCATACAATTCATTCTGTAACTTTGGACAACTCGAGAGCAATAAGACCTAAACACTTTCACAGCAAACAAAACATTCTTTTGATCTTACTGTTCTTGCGATTACCCTAGAAATTTCGAATCCCTAAGTTTTTCCTTACAAATTTTTGGTTGTGCGAGTTTTGGCTCACACAAAGTTCATCCATCTCGGACTGAATCGCACTTTAGGACCAAAACATATCCAAATAACCCATCTTTGGGCCTTGTATTATGCATCAAATCTTTTTGTGGGACTCTTTATACTTTCTTTGAGATGATGGCTTACTTGCCCATTCATCTTAAATCGATTTTGGTTTTGGATCTATTATATAATTTGGGGAACTTTTAAAGATATCCAACCATTATATCTAATAATCGTTTAACCAAAAATGGTGATTTATCTCTCATGATGGTCCATTTTTCTTTTCATCAAGACATGCTATATGTGAAAAACGTCGGGTTTTTCCCCATAAATTCTCAATATGATTATTATTATACCGGGATGGCTGAAACCGATTATGTTATATACTAGTAAACTTCAGGTTTACTATCTTAAACAATTTTGCCATCTTTATGCATGTCTCCATCATGTACTTTTTAAACGTTTCGCTCTGCTGGAGCGTTTCGTTCTTTTAGAACATCTAACTCTTCTGGAGTGTTCTATTTATCGGGAGCATTTTGCTCTTTTGGAGTTATCTGTTAACTTTGAATTTCTCTCTTCAAGAGATTTTAATTCTTTAAGAACTTTTAACTTTGCAAAATTTTCCAGAACTTTTAACTCTTCTGGAGCGTTTAATTCATAAAAGTTCTGCAGCTCCTAATTCTTCCGGAGCTTTTAACTTTAAAAATTTTCAGAACTTTTTAGCTCTTCAGGAGCTTTTAGTTTCTAGAGCTCTTTAACTCTTTCGGAAGTTCTGATTTTTAAAGATATATTTCAATGTCTATAGCCGTACTAATAAAATATATTAAATAGTTAAACATAAATAAATAACGAAACAAATGAAAATGAAAATAGTTAGCATATATGTTAATCACTGGACCAAAGTTATTAAGCAGTTCTTCAGGAACGCTTTCATATATCTTTTGGATATACAATTTTCATATAGTTCTTCTGGAACTTATTTTTCATATGTCTTCTGGACATATTTTTCTTTCATTCGGTTTTTCAAGAACTTGTCTTAAATGTCTTTTAGACATTTTTTTTTATAAATGGTTCTTCTGGAACCTTTCATAAATGTCTTCAGGACATTTATTATATGGAGGCCGTGATCTGAGGAGATAACTACCATATGACCATAGACCAACCATATATCTGATCTGAGGAGACATAGTTTACCATAACGATCGGTTCAGAGAAGGCAGTACCTATCATCCCGATCATAGTATATAAACATAAACGGATCGAATATAATTTAAACCTCACCTTTTTGGTATAAAAACAGATCTCACCTTTTCGGTATTAGATTGGATCGAGAGACGTTCGTGCTATACGTATTAAATACTATATAATATAATGGTGAGATATGTTTTGTATATATAGTATATATGTGTATATATTGTATATATGTGTAGATATACATATGGAAGAGAGAGAAAGAATGGGTAAGAGAGAAGGGAAGAAGACACGAAAGAGAGAATTGCTCTCTTCTTCTTATTCACTTATGTTTACAAGTGATGCACTTATTTATAGTGCAACTAAGTCGGTGACTTAACCGACATAATACATAAGTTATTACATTAATGAAAAATGGATAATTACTATCCTTTTATAACACAAAGAACTTTGTTTAGAATATTGGAGTTATACGACCAGTATACATATGAGCATTGTTTTCATTATAAAGTAAAATTCAATTTAATGAAAACATTAATTTTATAATGAAAACATTAAGTAAAGTCAAAAACATTTAAAATTCGATAAAACTCTTCAAACTAGGTATTCAGCTAAGAGATATGGCTCATCATGACAGAGATTATAAATCTGATTTAAAAAAAAAAGAAAAAAAATCTATAAATTAATTTGTGTGCGTTAAAATTAAATTGATTTTTTTTCCTTTATCAAATCTATGTTTATGATATTTCAATTTTAAATATCATGAATCTAATATTAGATAATTAATTACAACAATAAAGTACAAAAGAACATACAAAAACTGATAAAATGAAGAAGAATTATAGATAATCAGAGAATGGATAATTTGAACATATTTTTAATATATTATTAAAACATTAATATATAAAATTTATATCTTAATAAATATAATTGATTGCATATAATTTTTATTAACAAAATATTCATGCGTAGCGTGAACGCAAAATCTAATATATTTATAATATTTTTAAAATTGACTTTAATCGAATAAAAAATATTAAATTTATGCGATCTCACACAAATTCTTAAACAATAATCAGCGCTTTTGAATTTTTTTTGTTTGTTGTGGTTGAAAAGAAATAAGGAAGAGCAAAAAACCACCAAGGGTCAGATAATCTTATATATATAGACGAAAATTAACCTAGATGAAAAAATATTAAAACAAATCGAACAACTTCTTTTATAATATTTGAGTAACAGCCCCATAAATATATGAATTTCTTTTTGATTATATAAAAAAATATGAATCTCATAAAAACAATAAGAAGAAAAAGCAAAGACATTCAAAGATTAATATTATTTTTCGATTTTTAAATTTAGGTGTTCAATCAAGGAGTATGCCTCCTCATGACAATTAAATTAGAAAACAAATCTATAACTTGATTCTGTCCAGTAGAGTTGAACAGATTTTTTGAATCAAATATCTTTTTTTATGATTTTCGATCTAAAGTATCATGAACCTAATCTCAAATCAATAACAATGTATAATAACATAAAACAAAAAATATACAGACAATGCTAAAAAGAAGAATAACCATAGATAATCATAGAATGGATAACTTGAACTCAACAATATACTCAAATAGTTTTGAATTGCCTTAAGTCGAATAAAAAATATATATTAAAATTTCTATCAGTGAAATCATACCTTGTGTGAATCATTAACCGTATCGAGTCTCTTTTTTGATACAATCTCACACGACTTCTCATATAATATAATCAGTGCTTTTGACTCTCTTTTTTTGGCTTCGGCGGAAATGAAGAAAGGAATCGAACAAATATAGAAGAAGATTAACCTAGATGAAAAAATGTTGAAACGAATCAAAAGACTTCGTTATTGGAGTTATATGCCCATTAACATATGGACCTCATTTTTATTATAAAATAAAATATCAAGCGAAGTAAAAGCATATAGATTCAAAAATTGATGTTAA